TAGAGTCGCCCTAGCAATACTTTCAGAAAGGGAATACATAATTTGGATGTGGCGGTTGCAGTGGCAGTGATGGCTTGCCCATTTGGCAGCCGTGGAAGTAATGAATGACTAGCAAACTGGGGAACTCATTTTTGCATTTTTTATTGCTGCCAACCAGTCTCAGCTGATCTTAGATCCCAATTCTGGTTGAACCGAACCCAACCATTGCAGTCATGGATACACCTATGCGGTCAAGGAAGCCTGGAGACAACGGAGCTGCTGTTCCTAATCGATCGTCTAAAGAGGAGCCAGCCACCATTCGTCCACCGAAAGGTGCGTCGTCGAACGGAAGAGAGAAGAGATTGGAGGAAGCCAAGCTGGGGGTGGCACTGTGGTGTGGTGGTAACAAATAGCCTGGGGGGTCCACAGGTGTTCTGACAGGAGGAGCTGGAGTGTGAGCTGGAGCTGATGCCTCTGTAGTAATAGTGGATCTGTTGGTGTTGTCCTGTGTGTTGGTGCCATTGGATGCTGCTAGTGATATGGTGTCACTGGCATCCATTTCCTGCTGTTGCTTCTTCTTCTTGCGGCCCATGATGATTGGTGCGCTGGCTAAACAGTGTAGTAGTGTAGTGGTGTTGCCTGTTCCTTGGAAGGGTATGGTTGGATGAGTATTGTTGGTGTTGGTGACTGAGTAGGTGTGGCTGAAGAGGTGCCTCACAAACAATATCACAGAAAATCCAAAATGAGGATTTGAGGGATTGTACTGCTAGTAGATGACTAAGCAGGACCTTCTCTATCCTCTACTATCCTTGGATACCTTGTAAACAGTCCAAAAGGTGTCTTCGCGTGGCTCCGAGTCACTGAAATAGACTTGATACGGAGCGACAAATCAATCGGCACGTATTTTCGTGGCTTTCCGGGTTCCTTCGAGAGAGTTCAGAATTTCCAAGAAAATGTGAGCCAGAGGAGTTCTCGAAGTGTCGGCTTGCTTTCGGAACAGAGGTGCATCAAGTATGTCACTCGGAAGACGTCAAATACGTCACTCGGAAGAGGTACCTGTACCGGTTCTGTGAGTCCCTTGTGAGTACCGGTTCGTTTGCCAGTATCCTCCCTGTACGCACAACTGGAGATTTCCGTATCAATCGATCGCGAAAAGGAGCGACAATGAGCTACCAACATCTAAGAAGCACATAATGGGGTAGCGCGAAAACAGTGAGGTCGGTTACAAATTTGGTAGGTCAGTCGATGGTAAGGTTACCAATTGATAAGCCCTCTTCCTGAATTGGCAACCATGGTTACCAGTCCATGAGGTTAGGGTATCAAACAGAGACCTAGCAATGCTATTGAATCCACAAGGTCTCTACTAGCGTAATGGGTATGGTCTATTGGTTGGTAATCAGCATTCTATTATCTTACTAGTCTAGTTACATCTATCTTATCGTGCGAAACCACCAAGTCGTCATCAACTCAGCCAAATCCTCGAAACTGACTTGTGCATACAGGAAAATGGGTACCGACACAGGAATCACCACCAAAACAGTAGGAAACAACAAGGAGGGATGAATCCGGTAGGAGGATCCACTCTCTTGTGTGCATACGAGTTGTCGTGTAGTCTCCTCCTCTTGTTGCCATTCAATGACTCGACGACGATCTCCTCCGTTCAGGCTGTTGGTAGAGCTGGAGTTTTAACAGTCTCCTCTGTAGTGGTAGCCTCTCCTCTTCTTGTTCTGCGGAGCGATCGCAATGGTAATTCGTTGGCCGTCAGCAGTGCAGCAGAGAAAACAACAAATAGATAGTAGTTTTGTTTTCTTTGCTGAACTGCAGAAAACCGGTGACTTACTCTTGCTTTTCAAATTGTACCAACTTGGCCGTCATGGGCCGAGAACTGACTGCCTTCCCGTGGTCCATAGGATTCAATGAGGGATGGCTTTCGAATCTACACCGGAGAATGTCGGGTTGAGTGAGGCTTGGATAACAGAGGATAACAGAGGTGCGACCGATCGATTCGAATAATTAAAACAACTCACCTGTTGAGGGTCGAGCTCGGAATTCTCTCCTGAATACCATAGAAATACAATGAGGGAGAGAAGTCAGTGCTGTACCTTCAATAAAACTCTTGATAATAGGCTTACCTCATTGCGATCGATCGATCGATGGATCGATCGGCCGATTGGATAAAGAACTCCTCCTACCGATACGTATACCACTCTTGTCGGCCAAGCTTGGATTTCTCTCCTGTTTACCATAGGAATACAATGAGGGAGAGAAGTCAGTGCTGTGCCTTCAATAATAACACACTTGATAATAGACTTACCCGTAATATTAGCAGTACTAGCTAGTAGCGGCCGGTCGGCCGATCGGCCGCTCCTCCACCATTGCGTGTTTTGTGGTTGATCCATTGAGTGAGGAGCGATTGGCTGCTTGCTTTCAAAGAAGAGGGCAGCCGGGCAGGCTGTTCCGTGAAGTCTGTTTGAATCTTTTAGTGTGAAAAGAGAGTACCCTCCAATGACATTTCCCAAAACAGGGTTCCCCACCTTGTAAATCCAAGTCAACCATACAAAACAGCAGCTGCGCCTCTTCAAGAGGAGGGCTTATACCTCACTAAAGCGAGGCTTCTCCTCTTACAGAACAAAGAATCCACCCTTCCACACCGCCAAACAACCATCCAAAGACTTGCTCCCGCTGCCTGAACAGCACTGAGGTTACCAACCAGGTCCAACCCAAAGTTTCACCTTGTACATTCAGGTATCCAATAGCTACCCAATCTAGAAGGTATAACTAATCAAACTGAAGGTCAAAACTGTCAGGTAACCTGAGGGATCCTCAATAGGAAAGGATGCCCTTCCTCAACCAGCATCCTATTTGCTTACCAAAGAGGAGCTTAGAGCTGAAATTGGAAGCAATAGCCTACGAATCTAGAACCATCTGGGTACGGAAAAGGCAGGTAAGAACCATCTAGATTCAAAATTACCCCATTATGCACTTCTTAGATGAACAGGAAACGCCGTCGGCCGGTTGACTGAGACTGCTTAACAAGCTGTCAACAACAGGAGCTTGTAGAAGAGGTCCAGGTTGGTAGGTGACCGTCTTGGTTTGGCTCAAATCGGTCACGATTCGAGTTTTCGGCGCGATCGCGATTTCCTGCCTTGTTTCCTCGATGGACTTGTCGAACTCCACTCGTCCACTCTTCCACACTGCGTCGTGTAGCCACTCTTGTGTTGTGTCTATGCGAAAATGTTCATCCTATGATTCTCTGCCAATGAGGCTCAGTTGTAGGAACTCAAGAGCTGGGTGGAGATCTCTAGTTGATGGAGATCTCCTCCACTGGCTGAAAGGCCAGCTCAAAAGAGCTGGATCAATGCTACCCAATCACTATACTTCAAAGCACTTGGGGAGCTGGTTACATTACCCTAGCACGGGCCATACAGGAACTGGTCAACTGCAAGACTACTGGTACTCTGGGTCTCAGGATTACTCTTTCATTACTATCTTTCTTACTATAAGCTAAACATCATTACCACGATTTCACTCCTGTGATAGAAGAACTGGCTCTTTTGGAGAGGATATCCTGCTGTTGGAGATCCTAGGAGAGGACTGTTGGTCTGGATCATTCCATTGTATCTAGACTGAATGCTCTATATGCTCTGCAACACATAGGCATGTCTCAGCTATATACAAATGGTCACATGGTTGCAATGCTGTGTGTACTGATTGACTGTACACGATCAAAAGCATTGTTACCATCCGACTAAACCAGCACAGCTGTGGCACACCCATAGAGGCTCTCTATTGGTAATTTCATAGTCAAACGTAATTTAAGAAGAGTTGAGTCAAGCGGTGCTACTGTTGTTATTGATTCCGGTCGTACATGTAGCCGCTACTAGGGTACAAGTACCGTGCGGTAGAGTCGAGTCATCATGGTCGCTCCGGGACGTGAAAGACGCTCTGGAAGCAGTCATCGATTCGATTTGTCGAACGCAAGAAGCATATGCATAACCAAACGACTCACTTGCTTTCAAACAAACAAGAGGAGCCTGTCATGTTGGAGAATTGCTTCTTCCAAAAACTTCTTCAAGAGTAGTATCCGCTGTAAACAGTATGGTAAAGATAAAGAGGAGGCATGGTACATCATCTTGATGCGGCGGTGAATTCATCCAACAAATTTGACATGCCTGTGATGCGGTGGAGCCTCTTACAGGTATACATCTCTAGTAAGTCTTTTCTGTATAGTGTAAGTCTTTCTTATCAATTGTTAGGGGTGGGGCTAGCTATTCTGTCGAAGCAGGACTCATCATTCCCGTAGTAGTCAGGGTTTAAATGTCTCAAGGTGTTCTAGAGGTCAAGGTCGCATATTCAAATTGAAAAACCTACATGCTGGTTTTTATGTGTTTGTGAATTCGAAGCCAGTCTGTACAAAACTTGAGAATTCTCAACTTAATTGTCGGAGTAGCATGAATGCCGTCATTGAACAAGCCTGTCCTTACAAGTGTCTTGAAAAGCAGAAGCGTTTCATGCATCGTAAGATGCGCAAACCTGCTGACATGTTGACTCGTTCCTATGTCAACAACCTCACTCGCATGAACAGCGCAAAACTCCCTCATTTGCCACCCTTCAAGGCAAATCAGCAGCTGAACCACGATGAAATCGTGGACATCGTCTGCCATGGCATTCCCAGGTCCTGGATGTGCAAGATGGACGAACACGACTTCGATCCTTTCACTGCCAACCTATCGAATCTCATCGGCTTCTGCAAACGCATGGAGTCCTCTGAAGACTTTGGAAAAGGCACTGAAGCCAAAACTGCTACCTCCAAGAAGAGCAGTAAGAAGTTCAAGTCTAACCGCAACAACCCTTCTTCCAAGGAAGAAGGCAAGCTAGGGCTGGCTTAATTATTTTGGGCGACCACTGTAGATAATTTCCCTACTCTAAACCCCCGTCCTCCTTAAACTAGCGAAAGCTATATTTACATGTATCCTAGCTAGTAGGGGGTCTGCTTCTACCAGGAAGAAGGAAGACCTTAAGCCAGCAAAAGCTACATATTTTTCCTAGGGGTTCTGCTGCTGCACAGAAACCCTCAAGTCAGCCACAGCAGTATACCAGCAGATGATCCTTCTTTGTCTTCATTTTGATATCAGCTTCTACACCTGGCGGTTCTTACATAGATTATACTAGGGGTATCTGCACAAATTATCCTAACTGGGGTACCTTCTTCTCCAGGAACCCTGCTGCTGGGGAGTTTTAGCTCCACTGGCTTAATCTTGTTGCATTGGACCACTTGTTGCCATCTTCTTTTCCATCGCAAACAAAGACACAAAGAGAGAGAGAGACATTACGTACAGACAAGACACATGCAAACTAGCAACCTAGCTAGACCAACAGCAGGTAGCCACTGCAAAGCAACCCAACTGCCCACAAGGGACAGAGAGCCCGAGAAGTTCCTGCATCAGAAGTGGATCGAAGTGTCATTCCAACATTTGGTTCTTCCCCTGAATCAGGTTTGTCTACGTTTTCCGCTTCCCCCGCTTTTGACCTTGATATTTCCTCTCCATTCTCGTTTTCCTCCAAGATCCCAAGGAAATCTTTGACGCGGGCCACCAATTCTTGACTGGACGCAATGTCCTGGACCATGGCCGCCAGTGGTTCCATCTGCATTTCGATAATCGTGGCGCCAGCAATAAATGTAGTGATGGGGGTGTTTGTATTGATCACCAAGATTTCCACAGATTGCCCAGCCTGGACTCCAAAAGCTGCATTGTCAATGGTTGTTCCGTACAAAATGGCTGTGGACATGTTGGAATCCTCCATGGGTTGTACAGCAATAATGAAATCGCCAACGGTCAACGTTTCTTCAAAAATCTGTGGTGATCGGTATGGGACCACAAACCCAGGTAGCCACACATAGTCACCCGGTGAAACATCATGATTAAAGGAGCAATCAAAGTATTGCAGGATCTGATCTGTATCATACGACCCGGGCACAAGATCTTGATTGGTGTTGGTTAGCACCAGTTTCATGGTCTTGCTGAGATCCCCACCCGTTTGATGATACTGGGCCACATTGATGGCAACAGAAGGATTATCGCTGAAGGCCCCATCGAGAAACTGGCCGTCGGCGGGTCCACAGGGATTGGGCCACTGACTGCACACGGAAAAATCATCGAACACTCCATTCTTGTAAATATCTCCGGCGGCCAAGTCATAGGCCGTCAGCCCAGCCACAGCGGCCAAATCGGTGTCTGTTTCGAGCCCGTCTCGTACCTTCTGGCGTTGCAAACTGAGCGCTTGGGCAAACAAGGTGGGAGCCGCGGGAGAGAGGGGTCCCGCCGCGGCCGAACTAATGGAGGCAGCTTGAATGACCGAGGCCGCTCCTCCACCAAAGGGTGGTGCCAGTGTCCCCGTGGATGTCATGTTGACGGCTTGAGACTTGTACTGTTCCACCAAATCTTGGTCAATTCGAGCAGTGGCATTTGGAGTGGGCAGCGTCCAAAAGCCTTCGTTGGGCCACAAGTAGTAGCTTTCCCAGTCGTTCCACTTCCAGAATCGACTGGTCGGAGAAACATAGGTGGCCAATTCAGTGGAAGATGGAGAATCAAATGTACTGTATTGAAATCCAGCAAAAGTATCATTGACAATATACGCCGTCGAGATACCGACACTGTAGAGTGCCCAATTGGTGGCGTTCTCTTCACCTTCTTGTACTAGCGGTCCCAGGTAGACCATGAGATCTTGATTGTCAATATCCCCAAAGAGTGGCTTTAAATAGTTCCATTTCTCGGCTGGGTCGTAGTATTCGTCTTCAAATTCAAATTCAAATTCTTCCGATAACTCTTCTTCGGTCGTCGTCGTGCCGGTACCACGATGGGGCCCCAATCGAATTTTGGATCCCGGTGCCAGAGTGGATTGAATGAGCATATCGGTCGATTGTAAGGCTGGAATCCGATTTTCGGGATTGGCCTGGATATCGGCAAAGACGCCCTTGTGTCCCAACTCATCGGTGGCCCGTGACAGCATGGTATCCACAAAATGGGCCCAACTGGCATTGCTGTTATAGTAGAGACCCCAGAATTCGCTGAGCTGGGTAACGACATTGTATTCGAATTGTTCGCGTTCGGTGCCAGTGTGCAGCGCAGCCAAATCAATTCCCAGTGCCTCATTGATATCTGTGCCATTGGGAACCACTTCAAGGGCAAATGCTTCGTAGGTTCCCATCCACTGCATGGTAAAATTGTAGAGGTCTTCTGGAGATTCTGCCATGACAGTCTGATCATAAAAGGCTTGGGAGTAGAAGAGCTGCACCAAAAACCAAGAGGCTCCACTGTTGGTGGCCTGTCGAAATAGAATCGAGAAGTGAGTGAGCGAGTTGTGGCTGATATTGCGAAATCGAGTTGAGTCGAGTCTAGCCTATCATGACTGCATGCCTGACTTACAATGGCCGAGAAGAGTGAGGAATCTTCACTCATCAATCCTGCTTGCTGAAAGACATTGGCAAAGCCCACACAGGCAAACATGGCCCTCCATCCTCCTCCCGTGGAACTCCAGCGAACCACAGTGTCAGTGTCGTCATCCGCCCTTGCCAAACTCAAGACAAGAACGTTTGTGAACAAGCTCCAGAATTTCATCTTCTGGATAGGTACAATACGATCAATGATCAACGAGACAGCAATCGGGTAAAATCGAGCAAGGGACAGAGCAGCAAGGATCCAATCAATCAATGAAGAGATCTGTTGTGCATTCTGATATTGCAATGGATGATACGCTGTCGCATGCTGCAGTGATATGTGATACACAGCTGCATGTCGATGTTCTCGATCGAGGTTCCCCTGACTTGGATTGAGAAAAATGAATGCGAAAGATCCATTATCCGAAAGATTTAATGTCCGGTATTCAAGTCACAGTGAAATTTGATGTCAAACGAGGATGACCGCATCCAAGAATTCCGTTGCCATTTATTTATTTATTTATTTATTTATTATGAGACTTGCATCTATTTTTGGTCACGCAAGAGATTGACTGCGAGACGAGACCCATGCCAGCACAATCGAAGCATCAAGCAAAAAACAGAACACAAGTGTAATAAAGACAATGATGATGGGAAGGCTACTTCTGTTGGCTGCTCTGTTTGCAGCTACGCATGCCCAGAGCTGTTACGAACAAGCCCCGTTTGATTGTACAGATGGGACCTATTGCACCCGATGGTACGATGGCTGCAATCAGTGCGCCTGCGATTCCCCCGATGGTTTTGTCCTTTGCACGGAACGATACTGCGGTTGTCTCAGCGATCAAAGTTGCATCCCGTCTTGCAACGACAATGATCAGTGCAGTGCGACTGGTATGCTGATGACGGTAGAAGAAGAAGAATTTTTGGAACCCGTGATACGCTTTAGTTTTCGCTTTGGATTCTTCCAAGACGAACTGACGCCGGATGCCACAGAAATCATCCAAGAGGATATAGAGGGCGTGATTTGTCAGACTCAGTACTTCATGAGTTGGCTGGTTCAAAATGCCACCAATGCCAAGAGCATCCATGTCAGAGCCACCGAGATTGATTGGGGTTTCTATGACGAGGAGCTCTTGCCAGCACACATCAACTTTACCGTGGAGTTCACGGATGCAATCACGGGTACAGCCGGCTGGCTGGATGATCAAGTCTTGATTAATGAAATGGAAAAGCTGGGCGATCAGGGTCTACAGTGGTTTATCACAGACTGGGTTTGGAGGGCGGAACCGAATGGACTCAACTTTTTCGTCAATGCCAACCGCATGGCCTTTGATGGAGCGAAGCAAGCTCCCGTCGAGGGCACTCTCGACCAAGCGGAATGCCCCGAAACCATGGCACCGACTGTAGCACCATCGATCTACACGGAAGCATTGACTTGGCCCTTTGGTCCCAACTACAGTGACTTGGATGACTTGGATCCCATGGTGGATTTTTCTCTTTTGTTTTCTCTGTTTGACCAACAAGAACGTCGACCGACACAGGAAGAAGTCAACGCCTTGATCTGCCAAGTCAACAGTTACTACACCACGGAATTGCAGCGCAAACTAAATGATACCATTCATGCCAAGGCTGTCTACATTGATTACTATCTTGACGAAGCTAGAGAAGCTATTTCCCTGAACTTTACCACCTTTGCTTTCTACGACGATGAAGCTCAAACTCAAGTCAATGCCACTGACGTCTTTGAAGCCATGCAACTTACCAGTGATGAACTCGAGGACTTTGTGGAACTCTACGTTTGGAGGAGTGAACCAGAACAAGAAAATGTCTTTTTCAATACCGAAGCGCTGTCCATCCAATCCAGTATTGGTGATGCCATCAACGATCAAGCCATGATCGTCGAAGCCACTGGCTGCATTGCGGAACTAACGACAAACGATACGCTTGCTGGAAACACCAATACGACCAACAATGACACTCTCCGATTCATGTTCGAGTTTGGGTTTTTGGACGAGACGCCCCAAGAACTCGTTAGGGAAGATGTCGAGTACCTAATGTGCCAGACACAGGTTTTCTTGACACGAGTGTTGTCCGACCTTTTGGAAGATGACGTGTCGGTTGTGACTACCGACATTGAGTATGGGTATGTCGAAGGACACGACTTGCCCGCGCAGGTCAACTTTAGTATTGTCTATCAGGATGAAGACGGTATGGATGTCGCCGACTCGTCCGTGTACGACCAAATTCTGGTGAACACTCTGGAAAACCTCACATCGATCGATTGGGAAAAGTTTTTGAACCAATATGTGAGGGAACCCACGGGGCTGAACTTGTTTGGGAATGCCAATCAAGTGGTCTTTCAAGTGGATAGATCATTGGCAACAACAACACCGGTGGTTAATGCTGGAGAGATGATTATTGGGACGATTCCATGTCCCGATACATCCGTCGCGGCCAGTCGTCTTCATCATCATGTCCGGCGCGGAGATGACATTGAAGAAGCTTTCCCGTAGATATTCTGTAAGCCTTTGTTTTGGTTCGTACATTCATTCATTCCATTCACGTTCTTGTCATTGCTGCAGTGCTTGACGTGTTGTTGTTGTTGTTGTTCGGATCATACAAGCACTGGATCAAGTGTGCCATGTACCGTATGCGTGGTAACTGCAGCGGATGAAAATGAATGCCGTCATTGTCCGCGGTGTAGCGACAATCTTCCAAGTCGTAATCGTTGTAAATGGCCACGGTCAAACCCGGGGGCGGCTGGAGTGCCCGGACAAACCGTTCGAGTCGAGAATTCAGTGCACGAGCGCTTCGATCCAACATGAGGCCATTTTCGCAGTAGCGTTGAATATCGGATTCGGTCAATGTTGTCATTTCGTTTTGAAAGTGCTGTAGTTTTTCCCGACATTTGGCTTGCTTTGTTGATTGTTGTTGCTGCGTTAGGTTGTGACAAATGAGATTGGTGGTTTTGAACAAGAGCAATTGGACCGTGCCGGTTTGCTGTGCCACTTGGACCACCTTGTGCAACCAATCTTCGTAATGGAACCACATGTCGACGTTGCAGGGTTTCAGAATGGCCCGATAAAACATGTGCAATCCCCAGTTGGCAATCAGAATATCGGGCGTGCGGATCGTATTATTAGTATTGCCCGGGGACAATTGTGGATTCAATATTGAAGGCCAGACGTATTGGTCAAATAGGCAGTTTTTGCGTTGATTGGTGCCCCGAAATCCCTTCCAGAGAATGTGGCCCGTGGTATTGGTTGCTGTTGGCAGCTGTGTGGAAAAGGACGTAGTGTCGTAGCGAGTGTGATTGCTATGCGTGAAATAGTCCGTAATGGCGTCAAAGGCATTGGACAAGTTGCGATGGGGTAAACTTTCCAAGAGATGATTGGGGATGGCATTGTTGTTGCTACTACTATCCATCAACCGATGCATCCACTGCGCCGTATAGAACAGAGTGGAATCTCCCACCAGGGCAATGGAACGACCACCAAAGGCAGATTGCAGCAATTGTGTGGAAAGTGGGGGAAATGTCCATTGCTTCGTCTCGTCCTTGTCATCAGCCACTATAAGTGCTCGCAGAGATGTGCCTTCTAGGTCATCCTGGAGGGTCTGACGAAAGACACGGGTACTGCTGGTCAG